AAAACATCAATACTTGGCAAACTAAACAGTTATTAGGTGTGTTCAGTTTTAAGCTTCTTCAACCAACATATTTCAGTGATTGAAGCAATCTTGAACTAAGAATAAGCAAATCGATTATATCAGATTATTTCCCATAAGTTGTTTAATATTATAACCACAAGTAATATGATGAAATCAAACTTCTAATAAACTTATTGTAAATGGTTGGTTGAAATTGTTTATGAAAGACCAAGTTTTTTATTCAATGAACTTTCAAGGTAAATTCTGACTGTCCTTACTTTTAAGCGGTTAAATTCTATCTTTTCTTAAAAAACTCAGTGTACTTAAGAAATGACTTTGTTATTTAGAAGTGCATAGTAACATTGTCTAATATATATATATATATATATATATATATATATATATATATATATATATATATATATATATATATATATATATATATATATATATATATATATATATATATATATATATATTACAGACCTTTTCAAAAAATGTACTAAACCTAAAAATCTGAGATTATACTGAATAGCTATAGTTGATATTAATTCTAAAATTGTCAGGTATATACACGTTGATAGTTCTTGGTCATTTTGAAAATAATACCATTTAGGTCAGACGGATAAGTAGAAAAGCACAAAAGTGCATATTAGTTTAAATTATTTTACTGAATAACATATACATGTAGAAAGTCAACTAGAGTGGAAAGATATTTAAAAATGCAGAAATAACAATATGCAAGGAGAAATAAACAAACGATGCCTTTTTGACAAGAGTTGATAGTACGTGAAGAGGGACGTGAGTATTACTGCCAAGTGTATATGTATCGTAAACCGAAAAACTAGTTATAATTCATCTTAGCTTAAGACACTGAAATAATGGTAGATAGCTCGTCGTTGTATCATCAGTGTATAGATGAATCGTCTATTAAGCTATCGATAAATCACGTTCAGTAAAGTCCAGTTACCACGCGACAGTCATGTTAATAACATGGATGTTTATTGGTACTTCTGAATTAATCTCGATCTTCTTAGAGGATTATCGATTAGCAACTACAACTGGAAAAAGGACGCTGTGATTGCTTAAAAGTGAAATGATTTTTATAATAATTTTCTGTTTCAAAAGTTAAGACTCTCAAGCGCTTCGATAATACGCAGTGTCACTAGTTTTCAGGTTTTCCATAGGCAAACTAGATTATCATTAAATCTGCTAGTTTTTTATACTTTTGGTAAATTTTCCTGTGGTTATTTAATGGTAATTAAGAGCTTACCAAAATGTCGTGAATCTAGATATTTTGTGGACATTACAACTTGAAAGGAATTATAATCCTACTAGAATAAGAAAGGAATGAAAACTTGCAGTGTACTACCTTTTAATGAAATGATAAACAATGAGTAATGAAAGACAGTTGGTTAATGAGTATAGTTGAGCTATATAATGAATCATTAGACTCCAGTTACATTTAACTGCTTTTCTAGTAAACGATTCTGACAGAAATCATTTCCAGTAAAACTGTAGTAAACAAGAACACAAGTGGAGACATTCGAATATATTTAAACACAAATTTACAGAACATCTTATTAAGATCTGAGAACCATACAGTGAATACTTCATTTGCAAAATGTCAATCACTTGTCTCAACCTTCACTGTTCCTTATCCAAATATCAGTCATCTCAGACTTCATTGTTCTTTAGTTTCCACCCCAATCATTCTTTGTTCTCGTCCTCTCTTCGTTGATCTTAACCTTCTGTTATCAGACATTTCATTTTCGATTGATGGTACATACTACTTATATATGTCAATGTCAGTAGCACATACCACAAAAGTGCTAAAGAACTACGAAACACTACACAAACTGATTGGAGGATTGTTTTTCTTGTGAGATTCGTATAACTAAGAAACACTATCGTAAGGTGTGACTTCTGATTCGACGTTACGAAAGAGTTGGTCAATTTAAAACCTCAATATAAATCTGTAAACGTTATTAAGGTTTCTGAATAACATTCGGTGTAGCTGCTTACGAATGGCATGTTTTTTTATATTTTAAATGCAATAGCCATCTTAAAGAAATACACAAAACTAAGTGCTCAATCCCTTCCTACTTTTGTGAGTTATAACACATAATTCCATGAAAAATACCTGATGAGAATAGCTTTTTTACGACGCCATTCACCTCTGTTGGGACTAGGTGAAAAGCAAATTTGACACTATTATTCAGGGACATTACTTCATGCATAGAAATGAATGTCTCAAACGAAACTATTACCTTTGAATGGATCCTTTTTATGTCTAAAGGTAAGTTACCTTGAAATATTGTTGCAAAAATTTGTAAATATCTAAGCAACTGAACATAAAAGCCATGTCTGGATGTGGTTCTATAGACTTAGAGCCGTTAGAAATTATCTATTCAAAATTAGCTTGAAATTATCGATCTTTTTTATGACTCTTAAAATGCTTACTTTTCGCGTTGTAAGACATGATATTTCGTTTCCCAGCACATCTCTGGAATACAACGAAACCGTGTTAAATCCGACCTTCAAAATATCTATGATCATCAGAGAACCTATTTTTATAAGGTGTGATTCTTTGGAATGAACTTGCTCCGATTGACAATCATTTATGAAAATTACGTATTTTCTTGTATTGTATACAGGTAAGCTCGCTTGGTATACAACTAACAAGAATAATCTCTCAGAATAGCGATCGCATGAAGCTGACTTAATCACCTATCCACTCACACACTGATTTGCAAACAACTTAATGAAATACTCACTGACTTATACTACTAATTGTAAATTATTCAGTAGTATGTTTTTGTATTTTGATTTAATTTTACATGAACCGATGGCCACTCAACGAAATCAACATTTATTATTTATAACTCTAATCGCCTTGGAACACTAAGTAGAAAAATATTCAGAAAACGATAAAAGCTATCTCTACAGGATTCACCTAAAGATCCCACTGATTAGAAAAAAACGTTAGTTAGTGAAATTTTACGAGAACACGCACTTATCTAAAGTAATGAGATCTACGAAATATATCAAACGTATCCCAAGGATAAGTATTACCCGAAAACCCAACTTATTTCAAAATAATCAAATAGTACTACAAGTGTTTAGAGAATTCCTACGGAAACTACTAGAACTCCTAAAAATAAGAATAAATTTCTAATTCAAGTATGGCCGCAACTAAATCTTGATTAGTTTTAAGTGCTAAGTACTGATGAAAGTATGCTGGGAGAAATTCGATCCCGAAACGGTTTTAAAAATAGTCAAATATGAGAAACTGACTATTGAATGAATATAATTCACTTACCTAGTGCAATGCTATGTATCTGGCGAAGAATCACACTGTATAAAGACTAATGATATTAACTAGTTGCCTTGAACTAAATTAGGGGGTTCAAACATGAAAACTATTACCTGATATCCGAGTCCCTTATCTATCAGTCAATGTTTAAATAAGGAAAATAAACGTAATTAAATTAGTCTGTACGAAGTAAACGACATTCCTCTTATAACACAAGGATTTGAAATGTTTAGATCGTTAAATTATATATTTAGTTTTAGTTGATGATTCACATCAAAATATTTGTGAAGTTACGCTAAGTAGTGTAGTTTAAAACATTCATTTCAATCTGAAGTGAAAAATCAAAACAAATCAAAGTGATGTCTAATAAACTGTCAATATTAAATCAAAAACAGAAAATTACCACAGCACTAAGTCAACATGAGATGCATTTGTCAATCTACCTCATTTAAACGAAATCGTTAATAAAAGAAATGAATCATTAAATACACCTGAGCCTTTTGAATATCTGGGTAGTGATTAGCGTACCAATGAAGCTCACATTTCCATGTTCAAAAATTTATGACATTTTCGAAACACCTTACTCATAAGCTACTTTAGTTATCTTAATTTGGTGTAAATAATTATAAAAATCGGTACTAAGTTGAACTTCACGTTTAATTTTGGTAATTGCTGTCTAACTGAAACAAAGTAAAACCATGTGAAGTTACTTATTGTCTCAAACTGATTTAACAATGGGATCCCTAATTATTTAATGTGAAAAACACTGATGATTCGCAAACAATTTGATAGATAATTAATATGAACGTACAAAACACAAAGATATTCTTATTCATATATAAATGCTATCTGTGATGAGTTTCATTTATTACTATCTCATAGTTAAATGATCATAATGCTTTTCGTTTACGATTTGTATCAAATAATCGCTCTTTATTCACCGACACCGAATGAATTAATAGGCACTAAGAACACGAACACCTTGTTAAAATACGAATCGTATTACAACACAACCTCAACTTAAAAATTATGATTAACAGCCAAAAAGGTGATTTCAGAATGGCAGTAAACCATAAGACGTCGGAACCAAATTTTCAAGTTCATATGAATCGTATATCGTGTGAATTGGCTAAAAATCTCTCTCACTAGGAATATATATATCACCCTGACCCAAAAAAGTATCTGTAACTAGGTATGCAAAATGGTTTTTCCAACTAAACACAGGTCCCAAAACTGATTTGCAACCTAATCTTATTGCACAGATAATCAAACGTAGCAACTCAAAAAGCGTTTCTAGAAACGTTTGGGTCATTTAAGGTTCAATGATGAAGATTAAGTCCAACAAATTCCGATTTAAGTATAATCACATTACTTCCGAAGTAATAAACATTGAAATAAACCCTCAATTTATCATTTGAGTAGCTGGGGGGATAATAAGGTTTACTTAGTAAATTTAATCACTGGTTAACAGGACGCACGTGACAACCACACGAAACAACCGTCGAGATGTATACTATACGAATTATTTACACGTTTTAGAATTTCCAAATACCTGGTTCTTAATCTGCATTTAGCGCGGAATTTAAAGTCGTAGATCTCAAACTGCATTTCTGAAGAATAAATTATGACTTTTATGACATAACACCACATTGATAGAACTAAGCTTTTTCGACAATCAAGCCAAGAAAGAATTATCTATATTCCTGAACGACTAAAGCCACTAAATTTAAGGCTAATTCCCAAAAGTCAGGAGTAATTTTTAATCCTGATACAACAAACCAAACAAATTATTTCAACAGCACATAATCCAATTATCCGATTTTCAATTTCATAAAAAGACATAATAGACAATAGAACTCTTAATAAAAAGAGAAAATAATTTACAAAGACAGAGTAAAGTAATTTTGTGGGTGACCTATAAGCAGGCGCATTTCATGCGTACAAAGACAAATAGAAGATAGTAAGTGTTGGGGATACATCAGTGAAAAGACAACAGACCGGATTTTAAAAGCATATACATAAGCAAAGTTATACTATACTATAATGGAAGGAAATTTGATAGAAAGAAAATGTTGACTGCAAAAAGTATGTGACGCATGTACAAAGCTAGGCAATAAAGAAGGGTATTTAGGAGATTAATTTCTTCGGCTATATACAACACAAGTCTATATTACCCCGAAGTTCGAATAAAGAAGTTTTGGGGGAAAGGCAATGTTAAACTATTTCTTGGGATATTGAACAAATGGAGGCGCAACCAAACCAGTTCTAAAACTCTGACATATATGTATACAGTGATAAATATTTAACACACTTCAACCTGATTTGATAGAACAAGCTGAAGAAAAGAAGAATATGAGCCACAAAAGATTAGCTCATACATTTAAATAAGAAAACAAATTTGAATCTAAAAGTAAACAAATCATTCGTTACCAGTGAATTTCGTAAGATCTGATAGAGTTGTGAATTTGTTCCGAAGACCGCAATAAACAGGAAATAAAGACAACGGGGAAAAATAATTTGAATATCCTCGGGAATTATAAACTCATTTGATGTGTAAGCACTGACAAGCAGGGAGGGGTAACTACAAAATGTATCAAAATAATGTGCGCAGCAACCAAACAGAGCGAACGACCACCGGAGCAAAGTGAAATAATGCACACAACTGGCTTGGAAATTCAGGAATCAAAATTAACATAAATGCGACGTTAAAGTTTGACAAATCACAAAGTTGTTAGAGTGAAGGGACATGAAGCATTTATTAAAAGTCCCCTCCCTGAATAATAGTCTGAGCCTGTAATTCGAATAAGTGTTTTCATCAGTGCAATTTGGGATAAATTAACTAGCACTTGGATTGATACAGAAAACATGACCATGTCATGTCAGCTCAAAAACAGCTTTAAAATTACTTACACAGCCAGCAACATGAAAGTGTCCCCACTACGTCTGAAGATTGAAATCATTGTATGCCGTTGCCAAGGTTACTAGCAGAATTATTGGAACTAGAATCACGTAAAGGGGCTCCTGGATCAGAAACATTTGTATGAGGAATATTTTGGTGAGTCATTAAAGCAACAACTTGACGACCATTGGAAGTGGCAGAAACAAGTTGTGGTTGGGACTGGTGGGAGAGGTGGGTTGGGCCACTCGCAGGAGCGCTTGTATTAGTAAGGATTATGTGAGGCTGCATAGGATTCACTGTACCACTCAAGGGTTGGTGTTGCTGTGATCTAAAGTGCACAATAGCTGCTTGTGGTGTAGAGGACTGACGACCCATATTTGAACTTGAAGCTGGGGTTAAGCGCTGAGGAACAGCACTAAGAACTTGAGACTGCTGATTTCCTACAGACAATATATTGGAACCAGTAGCTGAAACAAACATGTTAGATCCAGATTCATTGCCATTAAACGCAGAATCTGGACCAAGTTGAGTCGTATTATAGAAATGCTGTACTTGTTGTGGTTGTGACTGCACCAATGTCGCAGTACCTGGAACTGCTCGGAAACGCAGAGTCGTAGTGTTCGGGACAGTTTGGATTGGTTGTGCAGTGCATCCAGTAATCAACGGTTGGTGATGATTTGTAGTGATTGGTGACTGAATAGAAATCCACTGAACAGGTTGATGCATCACAGCAGGAGTGGAACCTAAAGATGTTGAACCAGTAACGACAGACATGGACGACATAGGTGTAGAAAGACTGTTTATATTTTGAGTTCGATTTAATCCTGTGTTCTGAGAATTCGAATTAGCAGATACAGATGATGGAACGATAACAACGTTACCCGAGACCCCACTAGAACCTAGAAGAGATTGGGAGGCATCAGATATGGAGGAAGTTGCAAGTGCAGAACTTGTAGATAGTGATGAAGTACCAGGCATACTTCCCGAAGTAGTCACACGCCTTTGATTTGCTTGAGCACGTAGCTCAGCTTGTTGTTTATGTTGCGAGTGTAGAGCAAAAAAAGCAGCATGAAACTCGGGGTGGCGTTTGATCCATGCGATAAACTATGAGAGAATAAAACAAAAACAATATTTAAAAAAACAAATAAACGAGTAGATATTGGTTTATGAAGTTCGTTTCCCATTTATTAAGCAAAATAATAAAAAAGTGGTGTATCAGATATCAAAATCAGTAGCAATATTCCAGTGCCGTTTGACATATCACCTAATATAAATACAATTTAAAGGAAAGTTAACATGTATCGTATGGTGAAAGTAAACGAGTTGAATTATCTCATGAGCTACTTATCAATTCGTTACTCGCAATGATACTCATTACAAGGAATTTCGATTGGTAATATATTGGCAAACATATTCATGTGTTCAAATACTACCTAATAACTCACCCACGCTTTGAAATGTTTATGCTTACGGCTTATGTGGTGAGCATGTTTTGCATACATGCATAACAGAAAGAAACGATGTATCAAAATTCTTAAAAGCAGTAAGTTGCTCACCCGACGGTTTTGTTCATCGCTTGAAGTCCCGGTAGCCTTAATAAGGCTAATTACTTGACTAACATGGTCTATCTCAACTTGCGTAGGTTTGTTAGATATGGTTGGTTTTTGACTGTTTACAGGATTAAGAATAGACACAGAAGAGTGAGTTGATGTTGCAGAAGCTGGCTGCGCTTGTGATTGTATTAGTTGTCCGGTAGACGAGTGGACGGTACTTTGAGATGCAGTAGCTATTACTGGGCGAGCTCGCCAACCTGAGGTGACGGATACAGTGACTGGAGTATTTGTACGTTGTACGGGGCCTGCATTTATTGGTGGCTGCATTATGACACGACCTCCAGAAGGCATTACTGAAGAACATACCACAGGTGGACGTGGGTTTGCACCCTGGTTGTTCTGAGAAGCGACAGTTGGTACTGGGATACGAGGTGGTTGCGAATATTGAGGATTTCCCGTGGAAAGCAATACTGGACCTTGTTGTTGTACCTGAGCTTGTGGTTGAAAACTCACAGGGGTAGTACTACTTAGAGGCTTTTCTACAGAGTTTGAGGAAGTAGATAACTGTGGGTTTCTCACTGTGTTCGTGGTTAAAGACTGGTGATTGGGAGATTGAGTTTGATGCACTGAATTAATGCTACTTGGATTTAAAGAAGTAGAAGAGATAGATGCTATTACAGAGGTAGGACAATTTTGTGTAGGAGGTTGTGTTTCACTGGTTGGCAGTGCTCCTCGGTGCATTGTCGAAATACGACGTCTGAGCAACTTATTTTGTTGCAACCGCTGCTGCAATAGCTTTTGCTTAACTCTATACTTTATGTTTGAGCAGAAGGGAACAGGGCACTTAGACTCTTCACAACTACGAGCATGGTGCCATAGCAACGACAACAGCTGTTGACAGAGCAAACAACTGTTTGTCGCTTTCTTGGTACAGTTTCGAGTGTGGCATAAAACTCGTTTCATCTGAGCACAAGTCTGCATGCGGCAATTCGCGTCCCGGCACTGGCAAGCATGAAGCAAAGACCTTATGCATCCTTCTATGCTGATTCGACGATCAGGTGTAGCACCAGTACCACTGGGTCTATCACCTGTTTCTTCATTTGTGCCTGAATCTTCATCTATACCAAGACCATATTGAACCATAGGATGTGGATGATTTTCTGTCTTATAACAACGAGAGCACAGATCATATTCTTCACACTCATTACAATGCCATCGAGTTTCGATCTGAGCACCGCAAACATTACAGTTATACATAAAGCTTTGACGCAATTCCATATGCAGTTCATACAATAGGACCATAGAAGAATACTTAGCACGACGCAAAGATGAAAATTCCAAATGCCTTTCCCGGGCCATCTGTAAGAATGCATCTCGACTATCCATTAGCTCACTATGTACAGGTTGATCTGGATCAGTGGTGGGTGGAAGTGAGGCAGCCGAGTTATGTCGATGAAGGCGTATCACAAAAAATATTTCTTTTAATTTTTCCATAGTATCGTACACCTTTCGTGAAAGTTCTTCAGCACCGTCTATTGGCCCATCTAAGCGTTTTCTTTTACTTGCAGTTGATGTATTGCCTTTCTTGTTACCTTTGCGTTTCTTAGCCTTCTTTTTACCACTGCGCTTATCAGGATCTCCAGGCAGTCCCTCATTAGTGGAGCTTGAACAATCTGCCTCATCATCTTCAGCCTCTGCCTGAGCCATTGCCTCTTCACGACGCCGACGAGCTTCCTCCTCCTCCAGTTCCTGTGAAGAAATAAGGATGAGAAATACCAATCAAACAATTAGAACTCGTAAAAGTAGCTTTAATTTATAGATCACAAGTGAGTTTGTAACGGTGTCAGAAAGATGCGATAAAAAACGTCACACAGAAACTAATAAAGATGGGATTAAGATGACTAATACAAAATTTAAAACGCTTCAGAGATACCAAGTGTGAATAGTTTATTCTGATGCAAACATAATATGGATAAATACCAATTATGGAAGCTTGAAATTCTCAAAATAACTCCAGTCATATTACGAAGTAAAACGAATATATTTACCAAACAGAAAACTCTTGTCAATAGGAAAGCAAAAAGCTTAATAATAAAATTATGTTGTTGTTCATCTTTTCAGACTACTTTATTATACATCAATGAAGAGACTTCTGAGGAAAGCAGTGTTTTCTTACTAACAGTCAGGTAGCTCTAAATCCACTAGAAGGAAGGTTCATAGCTGATCACAATCATCACTTAGACCACAGTAACCCTGATTTAAGACATAACAGATACAAAAGACGTACTCAGCTTTGGTCAATCAATACCAACCGTAGCAACATGATATGCCCCCAACGTCTCGTAAAAAAAGCACAATAAATAGAAATCGATCGTTCTACTCTAAAGTACTAAGACGTAATCGCTGAAAAATATGAACAGATCACATATATTCGATAATGTGATTCTGACACTACCTGAGTGTAGTAGGAAAAGCGAAAAAGGAGTGAATTTTGGTTATTGGCAAAAGGAAGTAGGATCCAAACTGAATACTTAAAAACACTTTATGCAACAATTAGAGGCCAAGTGTAGAATACAATACAAATGGATATCCGCAGAAGTTTATCGGAAAACACCGCCGTAAAAATACATTATAATTGAAGTCAGGAGACCTCTTTCAATAGTACAAGTTTATTGTTATCATTATCTTAACGTGGTTTTTGCTCGCATTGACTCCATTATGTTGATGGAAATTCGAAGTATGACTACTTAGGCTAATACACATTTGTATCGGGCCTTACACTAATTGTCAGTTAGTCAGATGATCACTACAGGTATTTTTGATTAGTTGACTAAAAAGATGGGTGCTTACTAGCGTAGTAAAGATGACTTACGGGTTCATTTAGATCTGTTCCTAAATCTGAATTACAACATTTAACGGAAAAATTAAGGCACATTAGTGACCTTTATCGTCATGTCGGTGGCACAAAACCAATAGGAAACATGGCATGTATTCAAGTGCTATCAATTTGAAACTGTAAATGTGAGTAGCCTCTGCAAGTTGTAATAATTAGAAGTAAAATAACGAGTTAAAATTTTAGAACTAAAATGTGAGCGCAAAGTGTACTAACAAAAAACATGTCGCTTGCTGCTACTTAATCTTCCGTTTCACAAAAATATCTGTCTACGGTTTAGACAGTAGGCTACTAATCCGTAAGTTATCATCTAAATTCAAAGTGAACGGTTACTTCAGGATTGGATTGCATCGACACCCGAACTAATGATAAGGAGTGAGGTAATTGTATGTCAATCGCTTCACTTATCTTGGGAGTCTCATCAACCCTTGTGGTCTGGTGTGTGACGAAATCTCAAGCACGGATACAGAAGGCTCGACTAGCTTCTGCCAACTCGCGTCATTTGTGGCGTAGGCGAGATATCCGTCTATCAAACAAGGGATGGGTTTACTGCGCAGCAGTTCGTTCTGTTCTATTTTATGACAGTGAAACATAGCCGGTAAGAGCAGAGGATAATCGTAGGTTATTAGCATTCGATCACAGGTGTCTTCGAAGCATTGCTCGTATATCCTGGGACCAGTGAGTAAGTAATGCAGTTGTTAGGAAACGGGTACTAGGTAGTGAAATTTCATCAGTTGAAATGACTGGGACACGTGTTACTTATGCTCAACCACCGACTGCCTCAAATTACGATGTAGGAGTAGGTTGGAAGAAAGCTAGAAGCGTCCAGAACGAAACATGGCACTGACAAGTGGACCGAGTCATGTTGGTAGGTGTAGACTACCCTGTTTGGGATCGAAATCGTTTGCAATGACGCAGGTGCATCCACTCTTTGTGTTCTTCCAAATTCTAATCTTCTGAATTCTTCATGTCCCGTTTTTCCGCTTCCCAAATTTACTTCACTGGATTATACCCCTTAAGTAACATCTTCAAACTCTAATGTCTCCGACTACTGCTTATACTCTTACTACCTCTACCACTACAGGATTTGAATCGACAACTGCATCCCTGTGCTAATGTGGTATGACAACTCGAACTGATGTACGTACGTACGAAGTTCTGTGTTGTTACTGACTGACTGAACAGTTACTTGTGTCCAAACTTCATCAAGTTATGAAGACAATCGTCGAGAATATATGAGTTTCATATTTTCCGAAAATAAAATCCAGGCAGTAACTGAGTAACGATAACTCGCCGCAACAATTTTTTCTAAAGAAGATAGACAATAAGAGAAAACTTTGGGAAGGAATCCAAAAATCGTACTGGAAGTAAATTATAAATCTGCAAATCTAAATCAATAATAGCTGTGCAATGCAGAGGCACTTACGCCAAGACCAACAATGCACATGAGAAGGCTAATGCAGAGGAGGAAATATTGTTATAACAGATTTACTTACCTTAAGAATATCTTCAAGTGTATTTGGCCAGAAATCACCTTCAAAATAAGGGATCTCTGTAGGTGACACAAGTTGATGGTCTAATGCGTCTTTCAGGATGTTTTTGTAGTCCACCACAATTCCTTCTATGATAGCCTTTTGAAGCATCCGACGGTACCACTCCTGTAATCGCTTTGCTTTAGGAATCTTTTGCTCGGTAGGATGCATATGAAAAATATAATCATCGCCTTCGCCAGGTGGACAAGCCCATATGTGTGCCATCGCATAACCACACCGCTTTGCATACAACAGATAACCAACGAGAATCTCATGATACACATCTGTTCTATATTGTTTTGGTCGGAAAAAGAAAACTGAATCTAGGTAAGCAACATAAACCCTTCTACGATTGGGTTGAGGACTTTCTGAACCATATTCTTGCACGTACAAACCGAAGAAACACACATCCTGGCCGTCGATTTCTTGGAAAGCAAAAACAGCCTTTAGTCGATAAGGAAATGATTCAGACAACTCGCCACTTTCAGTGAATCTTGCACGCATTAAAGGCTTAACTTCTACAACTTTATCAGAACTTGCCAGCACGCGAATAGTAACTTCTCCAGTACCAACTTCTTTTTTCTTAAGGAAATCGTTAACACGCTTTTCTAAGAAATTGCTTAAGCGCGTTACGGGTAGCTTCTTAGCAGTGAAACGATTTTCTTTCCGCTTTATACCACGCTCCCGTAAACAACCAGGACAAATATATCCACTTGGCCATATTTCGTTCATGTGTAAGGCGCAAACTTTATGCCATCGTCTACCACATTCCACACAAATAACAAATTCTTCTTTTTCCTTCACATTATTCTTTCGTTTCTCAAACATTTCTCGTTTAATCGGGCTAAAAAAAAATATCAATTAGTTGAAAAATAATAAAATTTGGCTTACATAGACTGATTTGGTTCGTCAGCTAATATAATTACATCTCCAGCTTCGCTAAAACATTTTTCGCATTGATAATATTTATCACATACGAGACCGATTTGTTTATCACTAAAATAAATAAGAATGTACTAAAGAACTCACTTGTTGATGTAGACGAAATAAGTAGCATCCCGGTTTATTGTACATAAATTTGAAGAAGAACAATATAAACCCTGAGGTTGATATTCATAATCCTGACCACAACAAAACCCCATTGCTTGCATGACCTGGTCTATGCGACTCTGAAAAAGTTCTGCCAACTACAGTGAAAAGGTTAAGCAAAATAATTCTAACATACCTTGGTGCACATCTTGTAAACCTTGGAGGTTTTCTTGTTGTACAGCCATGCATTATTAAACATCAGTCGAAAGTGATCCACGACCTGCCATGGGTCCGTGTACTTGCCATCCTCCAAATTATTTCGAATAGTCGTAAGGTCCATAGGTTCTTTAATAACTTGGAAATAATCAGGTATATGTAGCATTACTGGATCGACTGGAGCACGGAAAGGTTCTGCATACTTATCATTGTATACTTCTTCATGCAACTGAAGGAAATGGCGCAAAAGCTCTTCGCGTGACCACTTTTTCCACTTGCTTTCATCTGGTTTTACAGGTAACATGTTTGAAGCTAGTGAGACACTGCTTGAATTAAGGTTTGATGTGGTGTCTACAGAAAATGAATCATTATTCACTGGTGGATCGTTACATGGCGTCTCATCAACTTTCATTTCAGACTTTACTACTTTGCTTTTAATCAGGATGCCATCTCCTGAGGCAGCTACAGCTGGAGTGCTGACCATTTTGGTATCTTCTATTGTTGATTTAATACTGGGCTGTGACGTGGCGGTCTTCAGATTTGTAACTGATGAGGATACAACAGGTGAATCAGAAGATCCTGCTGTTCCTGAATCTGACTTGAAACGATGACGATTGCAAGCATTTTGTAAGTAATGCTCGAATCTTGACATGTCGGTTTCCGAGTTGTTTGAATCCTGAGTTGCAAATGAATTCATTTCATACCCCTCAGTTGAAGAATTGTAGTTGCCGTTGGTAATATTGGAGTTCGGAACTCTGTTAGCTGTGCAAGAACCTAATGTAGAAGAAACTGAATTGGAAGGTGAAGCCAACTGATTAGATAATGTGGATAAACTCTGATTCAATTGCGATGAGTTAACAGCAGAAGATGATGTTACTACAGACTGAGAACTCCCTACTGAACTGTCCATTCCAAGCTGGCGACTTTTACGTTTTTCTTCTAGCTCACGGTGTATCTTGTAACACTTCTGAGCCAACAAATGAAAATAATGATCAATATCTGTAGCAGTAACATACATTTCGCGTTCAACTTTGCGTGCATATTCGATTAGATTTCGCATTCTTGGATCTGAATAAGCAGCAGGATCCGGAAACGGGAAAATGAAACGTACACTGTAAAAGAAAAGGTTTAGCAGTTGAGGGAGAGTAGTAGTGCTAAATCAGAAAAATATTTACTTGGTATGATAAAACAATGGTATGACAAGCTCTACAAGTTTGCATACGTCTATGAAGTTTAACTAGCTGCACACTAAAATTGCTGATAATGCAGCTGAACCGAAATGTGCAAACCGGGGATCCGTGTTAAAAATAAAGAACTACGAGTACAAATATTGTCATGGAGGACAATCTAGTAGCAATTTACATAAAGCACTAAAACTCATAGGACTTGAGAAGGTAGACTTTTACATGATAAAACTGAGTGGTCATTTCAAATTAAGGAATCTAACCATGAGAGATACTGGTGAAATAGTTTTCAGCTTGGAGGTTTGTCTAACCAAATCCCATCCTTTTCTAGAACTTTATTTTGTGTTGCACTCATAAAATCAGGTACGATTGAATAACAAAAAATACGTACCACACACAATAAAGAGATAACGTGAAGAAATAAAAGAGTATGGATTGAGATTTTGAAATAGGTAAGAATAACGTATGGGAAAATAATGTCAGTTGAAAACAGTAAAATTAACTTTTTTCAGATGAGGGTTCTTATTTTTATGAATGATACAGAAAACGACAATAAAGTTAAGAATCGATTTCTACTCCGAGAGATATGCGATAACTTCTTAAACCAGAGCTGCATCATCACTAGGACCCCAGCCAGAGGGTTGTAACGAACTGGCAGATGGCAACCCTACATAGCTTTTCATTATACCAAAGTGTTTTATTATACACTGACCGCCGCTTTTTTCACCTAATCTCAGCCTCGACAACCAAGGAACATCGTGGAAGTCATTGGGATGACATTCATACATCTCCAATTCATTCAAGTCTTATAATTGCGACACAAAGAACGAGAACCTCAGTACTGCTAACATAGATGTTAGCAATTCTTCAAATACGACGACCGAACGGAGCCACTGATTTTATCTCCCACGCCACTAGCAGCACTTACACTACTCAGATACACGAACTTCCCGACTGCTTGGAATATATTACCAGACAGCAGGCACAAGTCTTGTAAGATTGCTTCACATTTAGAAGCTGCAACGTGCATGGCCTGGTTACGAGAACTAACTAAATACTGCCTGGGTAAGTTGTTTTAAAACACAGTAGTATATGGCATCAAAAAGCCTTTTTCTGTGTAACAGATCCACACCACGAGCTCCCACCAAAAGTGTCTCCAGAATATCATCGCCAAAATTCAAAAGGAATAGTAAAGTCAAGTAACTCCTTAACGAAAGAGAGAGGCAATTAATTGTATACCTTCACTTTACTTAAAGTGCTCGTATACATAACCTTTCCAGAAACATACCTCTACGGCGATTTTTGATCTGCATTAGGTGAACCGATGTCTTAACATTTGGTGGAGGATAAAGATATGAACAACACATTCACGACAAGAATGAAAGCCAGTCTGGTCTCTGAGAGTTAGCCTTCCACAGATTTTGAAGTCAGCGAAATATGATGAAAGTTAACTTTTGGAATACACAATGCAAACCCTTTTTAGAAATAGGGGCGAATGTCGCTATATTCCACGGTGTTAGAAAACTGCTTTACAAACACCTGCAAATCCAATTAGTTCCATGACCGGAAGTTCACCACCATCCACAAGAGGTGTAGGGTAGGTTGTTTGGGCCTGGCAACTTGTGGCGCCTTATGATCTGTAGTTGAGGACATCGTTAGGTAGATCGGTAGTTATTGACCAAGGAGAGCAAGACAGGCTGATCGACGTAGTTGGGACAACAGACCAGTTGGGTCAAAAAAATAATAACTTCGAACAATTGATGTGCCAAATTTTGAATTCCACTTTCATCTATCATCTTACATTAAAGTCAACCCCCTGACAACCAACGTTAAAGTATGAGGTTCTCAAGGTGGTCTATGTACATAACTTTCTTTCCTGACCCAATGGATCACATAATTAACATTCTGAAACTTCCTATTTCTATAGGAGGCATCAAGGAGGCTGACTGAGTAATTGAGCCAGCATAACACCTAATGGATTTCTGCGTCATGTAGGAATGCTAGAGCATAGATGAGAAAAACAAAAGGTTTAACCCCAACCATTTACTTATTGATCTCACAAATGTTGATAATGCTGCAAATCTACGGTCGAATAGTTGATTATGAAGCATCACCTGATATTTATTTGGATTCCGGTGACAATATCTGAAAACAACCAGGTTCTAAACCTGGTCGTAAAACTAAAGGAATTTTTTTCAACAGCTTGTAGGATACAGATATGTTATGATTACGTTACTTGACCCGAGAGCGTTATCTTAGTTCGTCGATATGGCGTATATTAGCAGTTTATCATCGAAAGGAGAACCAGAAGCTTTTTTCTCAAACACTTGGTTGGATAATTGGAGCTGACTACATCGAATGTTTGTCATAGCTATCTATCTCTTCCTAATTTTACTGTCACAGACAAATTCCTTGCTTTTCACAGACTGATCTTTCCGAGGATTTTTACTAACTTAATCAGACGTTAACCCCAAAGCGATAATATTGAGTTATTCGGCACGACTTCCTTAGCTTCTAAGTTCCAAATTTTACCTAAAGACAAGTTCGTGCCAATACTTAATTCCAACTTTGAGGATACTAATCGTATTATGTATTTCGAGTCTAGTCAAACCCGTTAGTTACTGATGAGACCTACGCACGGATACAAAAGTGTTACAAAGTTCTTACTGCCAACTAGTGCTACATGTAACGAAAAAGATGTATGTTAGCTTACGAAAGTACGAGTACACCGCACGACAGTTTGATTTGAATTAATAAACGGCCATGAGGATAGAAAACATTCATTAGATCATGCTTTCGGTGCACCGCTAGTGGTAGGACGAGAAAGGATAGTATCAGGCGTAGTGTTGGACAAATTGAGCAGATTATTTGGAAAGTTGCAAACTTTAATCGACTGGTTAACGCCTATCACAGCAAGCTATGCTAGATAGACCGGAAAATGAACAATAGTGATTAGACTAACATGACATTGGCACATGAAGAAAGATATATATAACGTATGTAGGGTAGATACAGTTATTTTTGCTCTAGTCCGAGGGATATCGATAATCAGTAAATGTTAACTCACATAACTGAGAATGGTTCAGTTACCCTCCTTCAAGCCCTAAATGTCATTCGATGCATCTCCCTCCTTGACTTTACCCATTACGTTTGACCACTAGTGTTCAAATCCTGCAAGCATTTCCTAATCATTTGCATTTTTCTTGACTATATCCAATTGTGATGATGTATGGTAGCTCAGACACATGCTTGAAGATTTCAAGTTGTCTTGCTGTTAAGTCTTAAAAGCCACCGTCAAGCTTTGACGGGACAGATGTTTTTACCATATTTCGTTTCTGATATTACTGAGTCTCGTCTGGGTAAATAAGACCGAGGTAATAATTGACCTGAGCTGACTTATCGTTTATCTCAATCTTTTAAGACTACCTTAACTCATAACAACTCACAAAGGCGTAGGATGCCTCAGTAAAATAGCAACCGGAACAGATACAATCCACAGTAAAAACAAGCTATCATAAGAAAACATGAATAATGAGAACAACATTAACGTTGGAGCAAGAACAACGGTAAAAGACACAACCAAATAGTTTACAGTCAGGGGATAAATGATAATTGGTTAGATGTTAGCACTTTGATGTCACATTTTAAAGCAATTAGCAGGTAACAAAGCTTTCCGAGTCTTGGGACCTGTATCAGGATTCAAATGGTTTGGTCAACGTACGTTAACCTCTAACCTGCTTTATTTAGCACTAATTTCGACCTCAAAACTACTTAATAATTTCGTAACACTGTATTCATACAATAGGTTCCCAATATGACTTTGAACGATGAGATAGAAATTCACATATTTTCTTATTACGGACGCCTAACAAAAGAGAAAAATACTGTGTGACTCCACGTTCTGGAAATATGGGAACAAAATAATCGAGCAATCACTTAGTGACATAACAAATCGATCTGAAAGAAAATTACAAGCGACAGCCGTTTGTATCATAGTAAAGCTATAAATCTTACGGTAGCCACGAAACTCCAACAATTTGAAAACACCCGTTTCGAGTCAAAAATGAAACCAAGGGACGAGGACTACTACTACAGACAGAAAAATACCGTGGGATCAATATGAAGTGGTCAAATCACAGCAATGGTAAAGCAAGTAGATGTTTAGAACTATTTGATAACATAATCGCCAAGTTAACCTAGTACTTCCCTATAGGACATTTTTACTACTGCTATAAGCTGACTGATCAACACATACCGTCACATTTTCGCCAAATTACAGGCCTAGATTTTGGAAATCACAGAATACCTCATCTTACATTTATTTATTTATTTGAACACAAATATTGGTACAAGGGGCAGCAAATACATAAGCGCCACACATCTGAAACCACGTGCACCAGCCCAGATCCCAGCACACAAGATTGAGTACACTCTTAATAAAGGCAGACTTATTTAGAGACCAATAATCTTAAACAGCATCAAGCACTCTTTGGATTTAGGAAAGTATTGACATCTCCCTGGAGTAGTTGATGTGGAGACAAGAGCTAGGAAACCACATATACAAATATGAAATTCTACCTAATTTTGGGCTAGCCAAGTCCAGGGAATAAGCGAACTAAGAAGGCATTGTTATATACAACGTAAAACCCAGGACATTGGTGCATGTCAGGATTGTTACATTCCACTGGAACAGCGACATGAAACCGTCAAGCTAAATCTAATAGTAGAGGTATCAACAGTGTAATTGGTAATAAAACATCTAACATACGAGTGATTCGAGAAGACATCGAATGAAAAGACCGAGTAGTTTTCAGGAAATCAAAGAACTCATAGGTCACTATTGCACAGTAAGAATGCAAACCAATGAAGCTAGTTCATAAAGCTGGTTCTCCGAAACATTTTTCCGTTTCAAAATAACACATTTAACTAATCTATGGAATAAAGCCAACACTAAGGACATGAATATGTGCATAAACAAGTATTACTGAAAATCACTGTAAGCATGACTGAGGATGTTAAATAAAACACTAAGTGATAAATTAAATAAAATCCACCACTCACATTCTGCGGACAACATGATTGCGTTGAGATATATCCACACCTTTTCGCCAGTCATTTTGTTCAACAGGAGTACAGTTCACTGCTATATGACCACTGACACCATTTAAGTTCGAAGCATCTGAGATCTGAGTACTGGGGATTACTGAGCTAGGTGCTCGTGTAACAGCTGTGTTAACAGGAACACTAGCGATGGAAGTGGCTCGGAAAGGTTGGCTAGGTGGTTGCTGGGCAGTACAGGAATGAGGACTGGAATCAACACCATTTACCTCGGGAACGCGATTCGTGACTGGATGTACCTGAGTTGAATTTTGAGGCGGACGTATCATTTGATTACGTTGGTAGTGTTGGTTTTGTTTCAAAGGTTCACACACAGGGCACTCCCGATTGTTACAGTTTTTCCAGTGTGATATAATTTGACGAGAGGAAGCACAATGTGGCGTTTGGCAATTTTTACCCTGTGTACATGAAGTCATGTGTTGTAAAACTCCACGCATTGTGTTGCAATGGGGTGTTGTACATTGGCTTATTCGTCCATTGCTCTCATCTTCTTGGCGCTGACAACGGCGAGCATGAAGTAATAAGATCAACTGCTGTTGGATGAGTTGACGTTTTTCCGGATCTGTTGCAACTACTGAAGGGGCGCTAGAAGTAGCTGTATATGTCTGACCTATTGAGTGACTGCTTGAAACAGGAGCCGCGTTGCGAATATTGGCAGGACTGCTCATTACTGGTGGATTTTGGCTTGGTATGTTGGTTACGACTATTGACGGACCGAGAACACGCGGAGAGTGGTTCTGTGCATGAATCTGTGTATTATATACATTTCTGGATAACAATGTTTCAAGCATATCAGGCTGGCTGGCAGGAGTGCTGCAATGAGCATGAGTCATTGATCCAGGATTATATCCAACATTTGAATTGGGGGATGCACGGTGCACAATCGAATGGGAATATGATGAATGAGCACCACAAACAGGAACACATAAAGTCCTGGCCTCCGGTCCAATGTACTGAATGGGTTGATTATTTGCTGACAAAGAGCAGATGGACGTTGCCGTAGGCAGTTTAGCCGATGAACTGGATATCTGGATCGTATGAATTTCCCCAGAAGATGAGTAATTATTAATAATTGCTAATGTGTTGGGATGTTGCAGTTGAGTATTTCGTAGGCTAATAGATCCACGAGGTTCATTTTGCTGAGTCTCTTGAGCCATGAAGTGAATTCTGAAAAAGACAATTTATGTAGGATCATATATGTAAACAACAGTGACACGAGACTGTGTTTATAAATAACAATTAATGATTTAGTTAATAAGAAAACTGAGTAACATGGGGACATTTCAGTGACATGCAATTATTACGCACTTAATTAGAACAGCTCGAATGTATATATGAAAACAAAACGAGGTATTATTGATTAACAATTTTCGTAAAAACCACCACCTACATTATGCAGAAGCCGCATTTAAGCGAGATATTCACAGAATCGAAATAGATAAGACCAGGAAATCCCGTGAACAAGATGGCGTTCGCGCCCTAGACTCTTTCATCTTTCTGATTGGCTAATCACCGTTTATGAGAATCGTAAGAGGCAGGTGTTACATAGCTTAAACAAACAATTTAAAATATACTACTCTGTATTCTTTATCTATCCTTCGGCGAGAACGATAAGCAACAATTAAAGACCATCCTGTAAATTAAAAGTGATGAATGGGTTTTAAAAAGAGTCCGCAACTTTGTCTGGAGGAGTTAGTGATTTATTTTTTCCTTGGGATTTATATCCCGGAAGTTGTAAATCATACGTAATTACAGAGCTGTATGCTTCTTGTGGCAGTCGTTCTAAAAGCTGAAGGGAAGCATAATTTAATTGGTGATAGAAGTGCACAGGGAGTTGCGTTTACAGTACTCCGCCTTAGTACGTTCAGAACTAAAGTAATCATAGACACTTCCCCTAGTAGATTCACCAGAGGGTGTCATCGTTATAGGTTACAATATGCAGTTTCTCAATTTACTGATTTGCATGGACAAACATTTTGCATAAACTTTGGTTCGAGCTCTTTCATGTCCTTCTAAGAGTGATTTATTGTTCAAAGGTATTCTGTTGGAGTGAAAAGAACTATGGCCAGTATGATACCACATGATGACATCCCCTCGGCGTCTGATGCTCACTCAAAATGTTGAAAGGTAAATCAAAATCTACATAACATTATTTCGTAGATTTAACCATTATCTATCATTCCCTCATAGATTACAGGTACACCTTGCTGACGAGTGCCAAGTAGCACGAAACCCGGGTCCAGAGTTTCCTATCGACTACCTCCAACCACCACCTAATCTTACAATAGTGCCCAAAGTGTCGAGTCACCTAGACTGGTGGCCACATTGCAACATGATCGATAGCATTCGATCTGCACTAATAATAAGGACTAGACACGCATGACATTGGTCACCACCCAGTGATCAATCAATTGTGATCATACTTAGAGCACTAGGGACAGAAAGAAGATGGGTTGGTTAATGGAGACTTACTCTTTGCTAACCTCTTTGAGTACATGCATAACTACCCCATTTTTCCACTCAGAGTGTTGTTTCCTTCTGATTAGAGAATACTTGAATTGAGTAGCAGAGTGAAAGCAAAGAAGGACAGTATATTCCTTCAAGACTTTCAGTCGCGTGAAATCTTTTTTGATCTCGAGGGGTTCAAACTCCATGGAGCATATGCCAGTATAGGTGAAGATGAAGTAGATGTTATTGTAAAGAAGTATGACGACCGGGGAATGAACTTCGTTTTTTGTTCTAAGAAAACAGTGTAGTTCGCGAACATTAAATTCCATTGTTTATAATAATTCACAGCTTTTAGTAAATTCAGTGTTTAAATCAGCCTTTTGTGCTTTCACACAGAGTACTTTGGTCGTTTTCCTGTCAATATTCCAGAATTCCTGTTAGTACTCTAAATGAATCCAAAATAAGAGACTTAAAAGTGAAGAACGCCATTATTAGACACCCTGTTTCGTACGGGTACTAATAGGGGATCCACGATGACTATGTTGGAAAAGCAAGTAGTAAATCCTTTCACGCTGGTTGGCGAATCTTACATAAAAAGCTAATTGAACAACTATTTCATTTTAGGATCCAATTACATTACTGTGATGATGACGGTTAAAAATTTGAAACCGCCATCACAACGTGAGTCGGGAGTTGGAAATCAACGTAAAGGAGTTTTTATTATCTAAGTATTTTGGGCGTGCTATAGTTCACATACGTACATAATAGATAATTCTTCTTTTTTCATTTTCAGCCGACAAAACAGACTTGAGATAGGCTTGCTATCCTTTTTAAGCTAAACGGTAAAAATCTGTCCTTATCCTAAACAAGATTTTAGGGACATAATAGAAACATTATCTTTCAATATATATTTGGTGGGATTATTAAAGAGAGTATTTGTTTGGACTGAAAAAGTCTCACTTGCTTTCGGCTAAGTTAAATCACGAAATATCAACTTCATATCGATTATCGCAGAAAAAAAGATCACAAGCGAACCACAAACTTGAAAAGAGCGTGACACCAAAAGAGCAGGGAGAGTACAGTTACTGGTCAACATACATTGATGGTGACGGGATGATTGCAATTCACTAATGTTTGTAGATTAAAACGTTTTGTTTTTTAATCTCTATAATCAGAATTTAGAAGTTTGTTGAATGATATCGAGGTAATTCTCCTATTTTTGCTACTACTTAGACTTATGCATTCGGCTTTCTTTTGGTTTTTTTATGCTTCAGATATGACCAACCACAGTCTGTTTATTATGATGATTATGTTTGGTCTGGTTATCAGCAATTTTCATCGGTTATTGCTGCTTCTAATTCAACGCTTTGTAGTGAATCGACTGTGTTGCATCATAAACATGAGCTAGTTATACACTGTATCCACACTCAAATGTTCATAGACTTTCTTATCCATGAGGTTGCGATTGAACGCCTAAAATTATCTACCTCATAACTTTCTCCATTAATACAGACAAATTGCTGTGAGAAATTGTAATAAATCAAATTCAGCTAACCTTGATGAATAATTAATAGTTATGATTTCACTAAAAGCTTTATCGAGGACTTGAAAATATGCAACTTGTTTTCATTTAAGTGAAATAATATTCACTACTGGTGACTGGTAGTGACTTAAGTAGTCCCGAGAACGTTTAGAAAAAACGGCTCACTATAATAACATAAACGACTAAAATTGCAACTAGAACAACTGCATCGATCAAACACCGTATATAAATGGGTGATATTTCATACGGTTATGATACAGTTGCTAAGCAGCTAAGATTTTCGAACTTTTATTGACACAAGAGGAGTTTCCATTGCTTACCAATGTCTCCCTAATGGACCTTGACAACAACAACTTATTATGAGATAACAAAAAGTCATACACGTTCGGGAGCAAAACCAAAATGTTACGAATGCTGCAAGATTTACGTATTAGATTGCTCAGCTAGGCCAACGTGTTTCAGCATACATTATTCATAGGGACAGAGTAACAAATTCTGTTGCACAGGAATACGTCTAATAATAGTAAGACTAAAATGTCTAGTGTAAACACGGATATGTTTTGTGGAGCCTGCGTTGCAACGAACAACCGATGGTCTAGAAATAAAGTAAATCGGGTTCCGGTAATTACACTACACGTATTTCGGTAAATGCATGACTATTTTCTTAAAATACCAGTCTCAACATATTTTTACGGCCTCTTATCAATATTCTCCAGATAAAAGTCAAAATAAGCCTATAGTAAGAAAAGCTGTAAATATTTATCATAAATCAGAGGTGTGAAGAAAGAGACAGATGAGTCATGTATGCATATATATGTTTTGGGAATATACGACTCTGATAATGAAAATATTAAGCAACAAGCAGGAGAGTAGACAATACTTTCATAACAAATGATATGAATCATTTGTGATGGACAGATTGTAGTGACCTACTTTTGTTAATAGAACGCGATTGGTTCAATGAAAACAAATATTATTATTATAACCAATTGTACCAGTGACTGTTTTACTGTGCTCGTTTGTTTAACTGTGCTAATAACAGTCATTTTGGTCTTCCATTGTACTCCATTACTTCTACGCGGTTTTCGACTACGCACGTACATTTTCTTGCCGATCGCATCTGTACTCCTTTGGCACGATCTCGGTATTCTTTCGATACCACGAGATTGCCAACAAATATATTGCAACTACTACTATCATCTGCCTTCTGATTTTCGGCCTACCGGAATCTTATTGGTCTATTGGCACGTAGTCTGGTAGCGGTGTTCATAGTCAAGCTCAACTCGACACCACGCTACAAGATTAAGTTGTAAGTGCTCGAACATATTTCCATTTGCTAGACGAACTGATACGCAGGTGTAGTTAGATGAATTAGAGAAAACATCAAGTAGTGTGATAAAAAGTAGGTAAAGAACTGTACAAATAGAGATTTAAAAGGGCGGATGCAGTTCAAAATGTGGTGAGGGAAATTCAACTTTTGGATAATGAGAACGTCGCTTCAGCTGTTTTATTCATAATTTTTATCATTATTCATTTTCTCCAAGTCACAAGTGAGTCACTCTGTTTTAGCCTATAAGTCTGTTTTAGCTTGTGATAGAAATTCTTAACGAAACTTGAAACCAATTCGAAGCCAAAAATGTGTGTCAAAGAGACAGCTTGAATAGGAAAGTGAAGATGTCACAGATATTCGGAGTTTGACAACGCTTTAACCGGTAGCACCTTCTAATATAAATCGTACCCACCAAGTGAAATCAAAAGACAGAAGTGAGGAGGTTCGAAGATATGCTTGATAAACTATCAATATATCGAGGATCGTCTGAACTAGTCTGGCTAGCGATTGCGGCAGATGTTGAGCACGGCGTTCCCACACGTGATCTGGTGCGGATGCACAACCGAGCGCCTTCAGCTAGATGAGACCATTAAAACTGTGGTCAGCATCCAATGTCGGAAACATACAGAGCTATTTATTTTGGGGATTTATTTACCGCTACAGATCACTCCCCCTCCCCTAGTGGGGTAGTGATGACCCTAAGACGTGTCCAATCAGAAGTTTAAACCCAACGAGTTTTTCGTTGGTAAACACTCTTCTGATAGCTCGTTATGTTAAGCAGAGTCTGGTCGTCTTTCCTTACCATAAATGACCATGAAGTATAATATAATAAAAAGAGAAAAAGTACAGTGAAGATTTCTTTTCTATCGCAAACTTCATCGTTCTTTTTATCGTCTTTTCCAGCGGTCCTGGAAAAGAGAAGAAAAATATGTAAGTGCATATCAAAAAACACTCGTACGCGCGTAAAGACGCAAAGCGGGCGAATAAGATGGAATATAAACTCGTGCTCCTCTTCCAGAACGCTTTGTCTTAAGTTTATTTCTTGATACTGTCGAAGTATCAACGTGTGTGTAGGCTGTTGATTGAGGTATTATAAGCGTAGGAGCCGTGTCATTCAACGGTACTGAAGGAAAATCAACGTGAATAGGATTTCCTTCTAAAAACGCTGCTTTGAGGCGATCG